CCCAGGGCTCAAGGGAGCGCAGCCCAGGAAGAGGACGAGCACCCTTACGAGCTGCTCTTAACGGCGGAGACAAAGAAGCTGGTGTCGATAGACGGAAAAACGAAAGGTAAAAAAGGACCCCCCCCACCCCACCCCACACGCCCTACAGCAGAAGCTGCTCCAGCATTTTAGTCTGTGGTCCCGGATGAGAGCGGAAGGCCAAGTGGCTGTGGTGGGCTGTGCCTGGTCTGGCAGTCTGCATGGTGGCTGCATCCTGCTGTCATTTCCCAAACTCGACTCTGCCTGGGGTGGAGGTGGCCGCCCCACAAGTAGCAAGGAGGTTCAGTCAGCCTGGGTGGCAGCTATAGGAGGAGAGGCCACTGCATGGGATTGAGTCTCCAGTCCTAAGCCCCAGACGAGTTGATGCCATGTGGAAAACAGGCCCAACAGGTCTGTCCCCTTGGGGTCAGGCGGACAGCACACAGCGCTTTGGAGCCCTGAGCTCAGCGAGACCGTCCCAGGGAGGGGCTGTGATTGGCTGCCACCTGACACTGAGTGTGCTCTGTCCCTCTGTCCCCTTGGCCTACTTTCATTGCCTGTGAGGGTGAGTGCCCACAGGACTGACAGGCGCCAGCCCGTCCTCATCGGTGTCAGTGCCGTCCCGACAGAGGCAAGCGGCATCTCGTGGAAGGCAGTGAAGTTTACACTGCAGTCGGGGACACCCCGAGGCTTTTCCCAGCGCCTGTCACCTGCAGGCGCCAGGCCCTTTATGGGGCAGTACCAGCGCGCCTTTGTATCCGAGGACCGCCGTGGTTCCGGTAAGAGTGGGATGAGACAGTTTGCTTTGAAATGTCCTTTGCCAGACCTGGTAGAGGGCCCTGGGTGGCAGGCAGGATGTGCAGGCACGGATGACACCGTAGACCTGGTTCTAATGGTCCTATTGAAAGGTTGTCTCTTTTGGCGAGTAGAAATGTAGTGGGCATTTTTGTAGTGGTTCCCTTTTGCTTTGTCCTTTATGGTTTCCTTTTTTAAGCTTTAAAAAATAAAAGTCACCCATTCTTCTGTAGTTCCATGAGTTCTGACAAATAGAGCTGTGTAACTGCCTCTGCAGTACCCAGATACAGAGCAGCTGGGTCAAACCAGAACATTGTCCCCTGTCCTCCTATAGTCAGCCCCTCCACTCCCTTGTCCCTGGCAGCCACAGCTCTGAGGTTTGTCCCAGTGATTTTGCCTCTTCCCAAAAGTCACACAGATGGAGCCATTCAGTGTATAGCATCTCACCTAGCATAGTGCATTTAGCATTCCCTCATGTTGTCACACAGACTGGTGAAGAGTCCCTTTTCCTTGCTGAGTAACATCCCGTGCTTATATAACTGTCCTCAGTGGTGTAAACTAAGGCATAGCAGTTTATCTATTCCCCACCTGGGGGCATTTGGGTCACTTATAGTTTTTAGATAGTTACAAATAAAACTACTCTAAACATTTCCAAAAAGATGTTTGTGTGAATATAAGTTTTCGTTTCACTTGTGTAAGTACATAGGAGTGGGCTGGCCAGGAACCAGGAAAAGGGGCCGTCAAGCCCTCTTCCAGAGCGGTTGTGCCATTCTGCGGCAACCTCAGTGGTGTACGGGAGTACCAGTTGATCTGTACCCTCCCTAATACTCTTAATATTGTTATTTTTCCAAAAACTAGCCATTCTATACTTACCTGGCAGGGGAGATACCATGATCACAAAAACTAGCCATTCTGATAGGAATGTAGTGATGCTTCTTATGAGCTTGATTTGCATTTGTGTAGTTGAGCATCTGCTTATGTGATTATTTACCATTAATGAACTGTTTAGAGCTTTTGCTCATTTTAAAAAATGGGTTGTAGGGCTGAGGATTTAGCTCAGTGGTTCCAGCACCTGCTGCGCAAGCACAAGGTCCTGAGTTTGATCCCTGGTACCAAAAAAAAAAAAATGGGTTATTTCTTTTCTTATTATTGAGTTATGAGTTCTTTACATATTTTGGATAGAAGTTCTTTGTCAGATGTGTTTTTCTCCCATCTGTGACTTTGTCTTTACAACGTCTTTTTTCCGGTGGTACTGGGGATTGGGCCCAAGCTCTCGCTAAATCCCTGAGGTACCCAGGCTGGGCTCAAACCTGCAATCTTCCTGCCTCAGCCTCCCAGAGCGCTGGGATTACAGGTGTGGCCACCAGGCCAGACTTCCCCAGTGTCTTTTGAGCAGAAGTTCTTAATTTTGAGGTTTATCTTTTTTTTAATGGCTAAGATGACAAATATTTTTCCTATGTCTTCTTCTAGAAATTTCCCACTTTTATAGATTCTACACTTAAGTCTCTATTCCATTTTGAGTTGGTTTTTGCATATGGATATCCAGTAGTTTCAGCACTGTTTGTGGAGATAACTTTTCCTTGCTCTGGTACATTGATAGTGGTTATTTTTGTTTTTGTTTTTTTGGTTTTGGTTTTGTTCCTTTTTGAGACAGGGTCTCGCTATGTAGTCCAGGCTGGCCTTGAAAATCCTCCTGCCTGCGCCTCCCAGTGCTGGGATCGCAGGCAGGCGCCACCATGCCCTGCACATTGATAGGTTTTTAACTCAGACCCTTAAGGTGGAGTAGGCCACTGATGCCTTTTCTAGTTGCTTAGAACAAAACCCTGTTGAATTTAATCCAGCACTGAATTTAATTTAATGTTGTTTGAAAACGATTCTTCATGAGGGAAGAACTGTCAGCATCAGGGAGGAAAGAGATTCTGATTCTTGCGAAGGCTTCATCTGGAATCAGCTCGCTCAGTTTTTGGAAGAAAGAGGAGAAAGTCAGACCCAGTCACGAGTAGGTTTGGGCTTCCTGGCTGCCACAGTCCGTGGCGGGACTTCGGTTCCTAGGTCAGGAGGGAGCTGTGATGGGGCACCCAGGATCTCACAGCTGCTCCTCCTGCCTCAGCTTCCTGCAGCTCCACAGTACTGAGCTGTGTGTGCACGAGGGATTAATTGAACAGAAGTGTGTAAGGCGCATCGGCCTCCAGGCAAGCTGGATCACTCAGAGATCTTTCAGACAAACATTAAATATGGAGTTTTTTTGTTTGTTTTTTGTTTTTTCCTTTTGGTACCAAGGATCGAACTCAGGACCTTCAGCTTGCAAGTCAGGCAGCGGAACCACAGCTAAATCCCCGGCCCCAAACATTAAATATGAACACAGGCTAGCTAGCTTCTCAGAAGTCCTGCCTGTCCTGTCTGCCTAACAGGGGCAGCCAGCCTGCAGGGAGCACTCGCCCGCACCGGTACAAGGGAGGCAATCAGCAGACTATCATGCCTTGTGCATATGGAATCCTTCCTGCCTTTACGTTTAATGTCATTATCTTATCCGGCTTTTATGAATTAATGGATCTGCTTTCCAAAGGCGGTGTTGACAAGATGACCAAAGCTTTCTCTCAGTATAGTCAAGAAACTATAGGGGCCGGGGATTTAGCTCAGTGGTTTCACCACCTGCTGCGCAAGCGCAAGGACCTGAGTTTGATCCCCGGTACCAAAAAAAAAGGAAACTATAATGCAGCCAGGTGTAGTGGTGCACATAAGTAATCTCAGCACTCTTGCAGGCTGAGGCAGGAGGATCGAAAGTTTGAGTCCAGTACGCATACCTTAGCAATTTAGTGAGACTTCGTCTCAAAATTAAAAGGGGCAGGGATGTAGTAGTGTAAGGCCCTGAGTTCACTCCCCGTACCAAGGTGGGGGGGGCTGTTAAAAAAAACTTACTGTCTTAGACATTTACGTCATCAGTGGGACGAAATACTTGGCACCCACAGTTCAAAGGCAGAGAGGTTTATTTTGGCTCATGGTTTGTGGAGGTTTCAGTCTGTAGTCGGTTGGTCCAAGGAAGGGCGGTGCGGTTGGAGGGCCTGGGTAGGGGACCAGGCTCACCCTGGAATCCAGGAAGAACCAAGGAGGGAAGTAGACCTCTCCAGGTTGTGCCTCCAGGGCCCCGCCCTCCTCCTGACAGCAGTCAGCTGTGAGCCCTGTAATTCGTCTCCCTCAGAGCCCCACCTGTGAGTGTGTGAGGCTCGGGGACACCTGGATACAAACTGTGGCACGTACTTTTCCTTAATAGCTGCTAAATTCCCATAACTCAGTTTTTCATTCTTGAGTTGATGGATGTTTAATCTGTCTCCACCATTTCTCAAATTGTCCAACAAATTATGTTGCTGTGGACATTCGGCACATATGTTTTATACACGTACAGGAGTATTTCTTCTGTTCCTTGCGTGTCTGTGCACATGCATGTGGGTACTGGAGATTGGACCCAGGGCTTTGCACATGCTGGGAAGGTCCCCTACCAATCCACTACATCCCCAGCCCTCTTTCTTTTACAGTTTATTTCTGAGACAGGGCCTTGCTAAGTTGCCTCAGCTAGCCTTGAACTTGAGATCCTCCTGCCTCAGCCTTCCCAAGCTGAGATTACAGACATGCGTCTCTCCATTCAGCAAGAGTCTTTCTTTAGAAAAAATTGATGGAGAGTAGAATTGGCGGTCATAGCACATGTGCATGTCTTGGTCTAAATGTTGGCACTAACTTGCCTGAGCAGCTTGGATTACAGATGTGTATACCGCTATGGCCAGCTCCAAGCCTTTTAAAAAGTTTTATTTTGAGACAGGCTTTCACTAAGTTGTCTGACTGACCTCGAACTTGCATTCCTCCTGCTTCAGCCTGTCTAGTAGCTGAAATTACAAGCGTATACCACTGTGACCCCCTTCCAGATGGTTTTATGATGGTCTTGTCCAAGTAGGTATTCCTCTGTAGTTTAAGTTGTTTCAAATATAGAAAAAGTCTTCTGAAATCATTACACAGGGCAGTGTAGTGCAGAACAGTGTTTCCAGGTCTGTGCAGCCTGGCCCTTTATTTCTCTTTAGTGTTTGACTGCTCACGGACATTCTGGACAGATCTCCACTCAGAGAGACAGTGGACAGCTTTCCAGCTTTGATACCAAATGAGAAAGTAGGGCCGGGGATTTAGTTCCATGGTTCCGGTGCCTGCCTTGCAGGCACAAGGTCCTGAGTTCAATCCCCGGTACCAAAAACAAACAAGCAAGCAAATGGGAAAGTAGCCAGAGGTCTGAAAGTTACCATTCTCCAT